ACATATGTGCTGTTAAGCAGTGTAATTTAAATGCATGTCGCAATATGGCTGTTACACGAAATGGGTTTAACAGAGATTTAGTTTTGAAGGGGGTTTAAAAAAATTTCAAAATCTCTTTTTGTTCCTGAGCTTAAATATGTTGAGTTTAATTGAAATAAATTACACCTATTGAAACACGCAGAAATTACATAAACTCAGCGAAGTGGGTGACGGAAAACTAGTATACATACATACATAGTCTACATTTTTTACCCTTTCTCCCAATTTTTTTTATACCTTTCATGAGCAAGAAATGGTATTATAACTTTGGTCCGATGTTTGTAAGTACCAGAATAAGAAGATATAGGCCCATTAAAATGTATACTTAAATGATCAGAACGTCGAGCTGAGTCGATTTAGCCATGTCCGTCTGTCCGTCTGTCTGTCTGTCTGTCTGTCTGTCTATCTGTCTGTCCGTCTGTTTGTATGCAATCTGTCTCTCAGTTTTCAAGATATCTGGATGAAATTTGGCAGGTGGGTGTATTTTTATAATGTATTAATCATTTGTCGGAACCGGAAGAATCGGACCACTATAACATATAGCTCCCATACAACTTATTGTTCAGATATGAGGTTTTTCGTTATAACTTCTAGATTTATGCAGCTAGGAACATGAAATTTTGCAATACTTCACCCCATTATTAATAGAAAACTTAGAGTGAAAATTACAAAGATCGGGTCACTATAACCTATAGCTCCAATACAACTGTTTGTTCAGATATAAGATTTTTCGTTATAACTCCTCCATTTAAGTAGCTAGGAACATGAAATGTGGCACTGTTGTCACTCATTATCAAAAGAATAGAAGATCAGGTCGCTATAACCTATAGCCTCCATACAATTGATTGTTCAGATATGAGATTTTTTGCGATAACTTCTCCATTTATGCAGCTAGGAACATGAAAGTTCGCGCCGTTTTCACTCATTGTTAACAGAATACTTATAGTGAAAATAACAACGATCGGGTCACTATAACATATATCTCCCATACAACTGATTGTTCAGTTATGAGAATTTTCGTTATAGCTCCTCCATTTATGCAGCTGGGAACATGACATTTCGCAATATTTCCACCCATTATCAAAAAAATACTTACAGTGAAAATGGCGAAGATTCGAGATTCTTTGTTATAACTTCTCCATATATGCAGCTAGAAACATGAAATTTCGCAATATTTCCACTAATTACCAACAGAAATTTTACAGTAAAATTAACAAAGATCGGGTTACTGTAACCTATTTATATCCTCCATACAACTGATTGTTCAGATGTGGGGTTTTACTGTAAAACTCCTTTATTTGGACTGCTAAAACAGATAAATTTCGTAAGCTATTCTATAAATAATGATACAATCGTCAAAATCTATGCTGTGTAAGCTTTATATCTTATACCGCTGATTGTTCAGATACCAGTTATTACGATATATCTCCTTTAGGTAGGAGTCTAAACCCATTAAATTGTGTTACCGGTTTACATACCGATCACACAGCAGTGAAAGTCACCTAGATTGGTGCTATTAATTAATTAATTATTAATTAATCCCAACGGCTTTTTACCCTCCATTCCCGCCCAACCGACACGAGGGGCGCAGTCCGCATGACGTACGGAACCTTTTTTTTTTTTTTTTTTTTTAGTTTTTTCGTGCCGAGTAGTGGACACAGGAGTTTGTTAAGTTCGAGATCTAAAACTATTCAGCTACAGAATCAAATTCATCAGCTGATTGGATATGCTAAAGATAGTATTTCAATTATTGAGAGTGGAAATAATAG